ATGGGGCTTGACCCCTCCCTTTTCATAGGGGAAATTTCAATGGGGATGCTTACCGTAATTTGCAGGAATGCTATTTACATAAGGTACAGTATGTATATCTATATATATATACATATACATACACAGTATATTTAAAAACATCGGAACCCACTCACCCCCAACACGCAGCTGCCGGATCTGTGCGAGTGCCATCTATCTTACCCGGATTCCTTTGATGAGTTTGCCAGCCTAGATGGCCCAAATCCATGTTTTCGATTGTGCAACCTTTCGGGGGCCCGCTGTAAGCGAGGGCTTCCCTAGGCCCCAGGCAGCTTGCAGGCATTTGATGTTTTTCCTGCAGCAGGGTTACAGGGTCATTGTCTTCACGCCCCTGCTGCAACCAGGCCACTTGCGATCAGCCAAAGAGAAGTAGATGTAGGCATCGTTCCGCACATCCTCCGAATCCTTCTGATAGGTGGCCCTTCCATAGAGGTTCTGCGTCCTCTTGTAGCCACCGTACAACCTCGCAATGTGAGCCTCATAGAAGTCGGGTCCAGAGAGGATGATGGCATCAGGTGGGCTCGTAGGACACTCTGCCATGATGTCATGGTGCACGTGCGGGAGCGTCACGACGACACCAAAGGTTGCACTGGGAACAGTGAGAAGTGGCCCAGTGTTCTATGGGTTGTGGTTTTGAAGCTCTCTAAGTTAGACAGCACCCAAGAATTGGAATGTTCCCTACGCTGAAAGTGGCATCCAAACACACACACTCTCTCTCTCTATTTCTCTCTCTCTCTCAGTCTCTCTCTCTATTTCTCTCTCTCACTCTCTCTCTCTCTCTACAGTATTTCTCCGTGTGAAATGTGGAACTTGTTGGCTCAAGGCCCCGCAGCTTTGGCGGCTGACCCTGCAATTGAATCGAATTCTGAGAGCCAGGAAAAACAATGCAATAATGGCAGCCAGGTCGAGGGATCCAAGATGATCCAAGGACCATCGGATACACCTGTCCCATGTAACGAACAAAAGCCAAAGGCCTAAGTATCTGCATGTGATGCTTCACAGAAAGCACCCCACAGCCAACTGGGGCCATCTCTCATCACAGAGATTTGACTAGCTGACTAGCATGTCAGTGAGCTGCCATCCTTTTTCCGAGTCGCTGCGAGTTCCAACGTTTTTTCGATCTCCTTCTCCTTTCGGAGGGCCGTCCATCAAGCAGCTCCGCAGTGTCGCCATGCGTTCGGGACCCGTTCCCCACCACGGTCAGAGCTGTCTTTTGCCGTGAGCGCGTTGGAGAGGATGGCAGGGGAGCGTCCTCAGTGTTCCCTCAAGCGGCAGCCAAGGAGGATGGGAAGGACCACGAGCGCCGAGAGTCGCCACGGAGGTCTGAGAACCTTGAGGCAAACGGCTAACGCAAATGGGGAGATTTCTGTTTGGGTGCGAACCATTGCACCGCCAGAAAATAGATTACATACCATGTCACTAAAATGAAGAAAACACATCAAACCCTGGCACACAAGCTGTGGCCGCAAGCGCGATAAGTATCAGGATCCAAATGTTCCACTGCTGATCGCACCCCAAGTTCCTCAGCAATGAATCACATGCCTATTCTATCCTACTCTTTACTCTCATCCAAGGGTGGAGACCAGATTGTATGGTTGTCGGTTTGTGCATGCTTTGGCTAGCTAGCTGCAACTTTAGCTCACCGAAGTACAGATCATCCTGGTCCTGCTGTTGGTGCCATAAACAAACCTTGTGGACTATCTGACCTGCTGAGCATTGCTGTGGCAGAGCTGGTTTGACAGCGACAGGTCTGGTTGTGGTAGGGAACTGTTGCAATCTCGGATTCACCCTTCGCCTTGGGTGAAATGCCCGTCAACATGCACATTCTTGTTTACCAAAAAAACTGTTTCAAAAGCTCTAGGCCGGGCATGTTTGGGTGCTAAGGTTGCCTACATAGGACCGAGCATTCGACCAACCAGGTCATGAAATCGGGCCAAATGCCAGACTGTTGGTTGTTCATTCCTCTACCGTATATGAACCTTCCCATGTGGCAAGGAAATGCCTCCCAAGTCATTGAAAGCTTCCGTTGGGTCTATGTTTGTCGCCAATCAACCGCCCAGACTCGATCTCAATTGCATCACCGCCTGCCGCATGCGCAAGGGCTCGTCGGAAAGCACCCACCGCACACCGCCGGCAGCTGCCTTCAACAAATCCTCCTCACAGCAACTGGCGAGTCAAGGCGCTGTTCGCATGACTCTAGCAGCAACCACACCCCACACCCACGCAGTGACACACCCACACACCCACACTTATAGAATTGCCTACTGATGTGAATGCGGTGCCACACGCCAGCCTAAGAACACCAAATCCTGAAAAACCAGGTGAGGGGGCCTGAGCGCCTGTAGTTAAAGGCCAAGGTCTAAAGCCACGAAGCGACGAGTTGACAGGATGACGGCGTAACGTACGTGACTGCAGCTGCATTAGCATTTTACTAAAAGGAAAGAAGGTGGCCACCAGCTGCGTCTTACAATGCGCCCAGGTGCACCAAGCAGGTACGTTTTCCTGATCATCCAGTGTGGAGCTTCGTTGGCAGAGGCCACAGCTGGAGCTCCCTCTGCCCCCCGCTCAAAACAATTCGAAAAGAATCCCTGTGACTACAAGGGGCACACACACGCGCTTCCCTGAGGGGAGGCTTCTCATTCATAGTAGCATCCTTCAACTCTAGCAAGGCCAGGAGCCCCTAGTAGCGTCCCACTCTAAGGTCCTGACAGGAGGGAGGGGTGGGGAGAGAAGAGAAAAAGAAGCAAGGAAAAGGGGAAGAAGGTGTTCCCAGCTACGACACAAGCGTCCAAGGACACACCAAGAGAAGAGAGGAGAAGGGTTCCCAGCTATGACGAAAGCATCCAGGGACACCCAAACAAGAAGGAGGGAAAGGAAAGGAAGGAGAAAAGAGAGAGAGAGAGAG